ATACAATTTGAATTATGTGGAAGACGTATACACGAGGTGACGAGTACGTACACGGCCTTATATATGGAAATTGACCGATTTCTACTCTTAGATTACTTATACGCATTTATTTAAAGTTGTTGTTACTTATTACATCTTTCGTTGTTGAATTCATTCTTATATGTTTTAATTGTAGTTGTTACTACATGTTCTATCTTCCCTTGTCGAGTTTACTCTTATATGTATTAATTGAAGATGTCAACACATGTACTACCTTTCATTGTTGAGTTTGCTCTTATATGCATTTAATTAAGGTTGTTGTTACATGTCATATCTTTCATTGTTGAGTTTATTCTTATACATTGAATTGAAGTTATAGTTATCGAGAACTATTAGCAAGTTCTAATTGAAGTTGTTGTTTATGGGATATCCTTCCTTGTTGAATTATTTCCCGATTTATTTTGTTGTTATTGAGATTTTTGTGCACATTGTGGTTGAGTCGTGGGCTATGTGTTAGGGTGACATTAGTATTGTTGACTTTGGCAACATTGTGGAATATGGGCACATGTGGTGCGAGTTGATTGTTGTGTTGTGATATTGATGTACATGAGGCTGTATAAGGGTGGTGTATTAATGTGCATGCGGCGAGATAATGTGGGATTTATGCGCGTGTTGCTAGTAAGGGAATTACTTGAAGCCTCGCGGCGAGATAAGGTGGCTAAAACGTGTGAAGCTATTTAGGAAAAAATATTTTTAAAATAAATGCAAGTCTCACACGGCGATATAAGGAAGATTGTGATTGTGACTTGTGAAATATGAAAATAAGATGTGGTACCTCAGTGTGACTTGTTATACATTTTATATTGGAACGACTTGTTGATTTGAACGGTTATTATTTTTCCTTAATTCATTTCATTTGTATTTTGACTGTTTTTAATCATTTTTTATTTTATCATATGTCTACTTTTTGTTGTTATGTATCGCTTTTACTTCCGTTGTTAGTCTTATATTATCATTCTTCTTTTTTGTTATTTATTATTTTATTTGCCGTTGTTAGATTATATTAACGGCAAAGCGCTAAATATACCCTTATACTATAAGAAAAGGTTTAAATATACCCTTGATTATATTTTGGGTCCAAATATATCCCTGACGTAATACTATTGGTTCATTTATACCCCTCTTCAATTAAGTTTGTCCAAGATAGACATCCAATTCTATGTGGCACTGATATTTGATGAGGTGGATGTCACATGGCATGCCACCTCAGTACCCCTAATCCATATATAAAAGACTAAAATTTAAAATACAATATTTTTTAGTAGCGGTAATGGTGGCAATAGTGGTGGAGGGAAAGAAAATTTTAGTGGTGGAAAAAAATAGAAGGGAGGGGTATGGATTAGGGACGATGAGGTGGAAAGCCATGTGACATCCACCTCACTAAATGTCAGTGTCACGTAGAATTGGATGTCTACTTTGAACAAACTTAGGGGTATATTTGAACCAATAATATAACGACATGGATATATTTGAACTAATAATATAACGACAGGGATATATTTGAACCAATAATATAATGACAAGGATATATTTGGACTCAAAATATAACGAGGAGTACATTTAAACCTTTTCTGATAGTACAAAGGTATATTTTGCCCTTTTCCGTTATATTAATATTCTGCTCAAGTTTTTATGTCTTGTAGGTGTCTTGACCTGACCTCGTCACTACTACATTGAGTTTATGCTTGATACTTATTAGGTACCATTGTGGTGTACTCATACTACACTTCTGCATATTTTTGTGTAGATCCATGTATTTCTGCCCGTGGTGGATGCCAGTGGGTTGATTCAGACGTTTCAGAGACTTCAAGGTATACCTACTTGACGCTTGCAAGCCTCGAAGTCACCATTTGATATTGTTTATACTACTGTTTATCTTCATTTCAAGACAATATTGATTTAGAGATTCCTAGTGTACTTCATTAGAGCTTATGACTTTGTACCACCGATTTTGGGGATTTTATGACTGATGATCCGTTTGGTTTTATTATGTTATTTATTAGTTGAATTAATATCTTAGTTTATTTTTCTGCTAAATTCTCATCATGTGTTAGGCTTACGTCTTAGAGACTAGGTGCCATCATAATTCCTACGGTGGATTTTGGGGTTGTGACACCATTGGAGGCCGTTTGGTTAGTTGGTTGGACGTTTCAAGATTGAAGAACTTTCTATTAGCGAGGTAAGTGAGATTTTAAGCTTTTATGCTTGCATTTCTAAAACCCGTTTTGAAAATATATTTTGTTTATCTGGTCTATGTCTTGGCACAAGAATGTGCTTGGCAGAATCGTTGTTCTTTGACCAACCGCAAATATATGTTATTTTGTGAAATGCTGAAATTATTTACGAAGTAATTTGTGGTGTGGTGGTGGCGTAGCCTCGTGCTATGGCGTTAGAAGTTATTTCTTCGATATCGTAATATATTTTGGATATTGTATATGCCGCCATGATAGATTTGGGACATTGTATATGCTACCTTAGGCTCGTCGGGGTGTTTGATTAATTTTCTTCATTGCCTTTTATAACAAGTCCTTAGTGTGAATTATGTTAAAGATATAAGTGTGTGTTGTTCAATATTAATTTAGATAATTATATTATGAAATAATTATTGTGCATATTTTTTTTGTTTTTGTTGTGTGTTTGTATTTTCCAGTACTTGTTCCAGAGGTATCCGGAGTGGTGGGTCGAAAATCTTATTGGGTTATATTCACGTATAACTCACTCCTTATCTACATATCCATGCATATACTATTAATGATGACGCTAGTAGCTTACACGTTCAGTAGAGTTTATTCAACTGTTGAGGTGAGCCACCACATTGTTCGTGGAGGCTCCAAAAGAGTCTTATTAATGTTTTTTTGGGGATTTAGACACCCGTTTTTTAATCTTTTGTAATTCTCTTAGATGTTCCATGATCTAGTGTGGGATTTGGACAAGAGTTTTTAATTTAATATTTTGAGATATTAATTATTGGTAATTAAATATTTGATTGTTTAGATACTTATTTAATTTATTAAATGCTACAATTATAAGGCTAAAGCATGAAAATTTGGTTCGCCTGATTGGTGGTGTGTGTTGGGTGCCAATTAAGTTTAGGAATAGTTTGGGACGTGACACCAAACCTTTCACATAAAATAAGAGGGAGGGAATAGGAATTACCAAAATAATCCCATTATTACCAAAATATTCCTGAAAAAACTTATAAATCAACGAGATTAAGGTACTAATAATATGTTTAATAGTGATTGAAATTGTCAATATGCTTAAAACATGTTTTTATTACAACTCCCATAAGTAAAGGTACAAAATAATATCATCGCAAAAAGCCAAGAAATAAAAGGCATATGCTTCCAGCTGAGAATCTGAATACAAAATGGAGCATCCATTTATAATTAGCTTCCGGTTCCTCTAATTTCAACCTAAATGAGTACTTACTATGAACCAAACTTAGGTCCATTTCGTTCTGAAATTCCTGATTTTTTCGTTAATTATTCAAGATGAAGAGATAAGCTGCTTCAAATTGAACTCACCAGAGCCCTTTTCTTCAGAATTAACACAATCAAACCCACATCCACACTGTGGAGACTCATAAAAGTTATCAATATGAAAATCAGCAGAAGCAATTCCGACGGAGAAATCAAGCTGGTCACCGTCACGAGTAACTTCCACAATATTAATCCAAAACAAAAGCAGTTTTACCTGCACACCTTTCAAGTTCGCCACCCTATCCTTGGAAATTTTACCAGTAACTTTACTCATGTACTTGAGAGTGTAACCGTCTATGCTGAAAGTGCACGTTTTGTGCAAGTAAACGGCGAAATTGCGAGTGGTTTTGTTGAATTCGTACCTTGTGACGCCTTTTGGGAGTAGTCCCACCGGAAAATCGTATTCCTGTAGAATCTCGTACACCGACGGAGACTGGGATTCCTTGCCGCCGAAGGCCGGAGAAGCTGTAGAGAAAAGGACAAGAAAGATGCATAACGGAAGAGCTGAAGAAGACATTTTGACTAGTTAGCGACCCCAATTAACTTAAAATTGAGAGAAGTAAAAACAAGTATAGAGAGAAACTGGTATATTATTCGAATTTCAAACTGACGTACATAATGAATTGAAATCTCTTCTATTTATAGAAGAAAGGAAGCTGTTGTGGAAGCTGTTACGTAAGCTGCTATGTAAACTGCTACTACAAGTTGCTGTGTAAACTGCTATTATAAGCTGCTACGCAAGTTGCTGTGTAAGCTGCTACTGCAAGCTGCTGTGTAAGCTGCTACT